AAAAAAAAGAAGAGGATATGTAGATGTTTTTATACATTCAAGAGAATCAATTAGAACAAAAAATAAATAAATAGATAAACAGACAATCTTCTTTTGGAATCCTAAGTAATACACAGGACAGTTTCTTACAAGTGATCAGGTAAGGATTACATATTCGTGATACGTATGACATTGATAATAATAGTAACAGCACTAATAACGGTAATAATTGCAATAGCCAAAACAATAATAGTACTTCTAAAATTAAACTAGATTTTACAGAAAACTCAGTAATCATTGAACATTTCAACGCTTTTGCTACAATAATAGTAATACTGCAAACTGAAAACTTCATTGAATTGAGGTCAGAACCCATGTTTCCTGCCTTATTCAGCACGTGAGCAGAAAAGTCACGCCACATACAGCGGTTCTTTACCACAGACTTTGTTACTTATTTGAATTAAATGACCAGTACCTAAATTACCATTCTTTCTCTCCATGCTTTCCCCTGCCCCCACCTTCCAAACTTTTCAAACAGTAGCAATAGTCAGGAAATTGTTGTCACGATGACGGAGAGATGTCTTGATCAATAAACAAACCAAGTGATGCTTGAATTTTCGCAACAAAAGATAAAATGAAATTATACGGCGATTAGTTGACGAATTAAGGCTGAATGAAATAAAACTTGAAATTGCTGCAGCAACAACTATTACCCAGCCAGAGCTGCAGCTGAAAAAAAATTTTTTTGCTAACAAAATGATCAACGTGAAGTGAGACCTATTTTATAAATTATATAGTCCCAAAAAGATGATTTTTAAGACAGTAGTCCTGTAAATGACAAAAAACCAACTACTGTTAGCTGTCAAACCATCCATGCGCTAGCTGCATAACAATTTCACAAAACTTACACTGAAACGCAAAGACCATTCAACACCAACTCTGTCCTTTCACCATCGCTCATCTATAAATACGTTTGAAAATCTCAGTGTCAACACACAAGTTCCCGTTTCTTTGAAACGAATCTTCGGCACGCCATTTACAGAAACACTTCATCAAACTTATGGTTCACACGTATAGATCGGCTCATCCGATCTGGCCAGGTTATAATTCCCAAAACTGTATTTCAATGTAACTTTTTCAGTTGCTTCCACAAAAAAAAATGCCATTGCCTTTTAAGCTGCTGAACTCTACGCCATGTCTAAGCCAAATTCATATCATTTTTATTATCCCTTCTGAATCACTAACAAGGATCACTTCTGACCTTAGAACTAAACTACTGATGAAAATCATCAACAACGTATGAGATGTGAAAATACAGCAAAGCACATGAAAACTGGGTTACAGTTCAAGGGCCCACACAGCCGAACCTGTCTATTATTGCTTGACAAATCCTTTGGTTCTGATTACACACTAAAAAAAAACGCTTCAAGCTTGCCTCGTACGACTGCCACAAAATAATACAAACATTAAAAAAAAGGTTTCTACTGTTACCAGATAGAACGATAAAACAACAGATCTATAATTTCATCTTTCACAAACCATAATT